CTGGAGATTTATGGCACTTTAAAGAACTCAAACTGCAGGTTTTACACCATATTTTAAAACGTAAAATATTTTTCTTTTCCCTTTCTGTCCCCAATATTCTATGATATGTTAGTGCTGAAATACCCCACAACTACTTGTTAATGTTTAAAGGAGTTTCTGGCGCAGGGCTCACAGGCACTGGTGTCTCTGCCTGTGCGGTCTCTGTCCTTGGGGCTCTGCTTTACATTAACTCCTAATCCCATGTTAGCGGGACTTGCCACAGCACACTAGTAAAACAAAAGCTGCGGTGAGTGGAAAATAAATCAGATTTTTTACCTTGAAGAGGCTGCTGCCTTCCYKAACATTACACYACTTTAAGAAAYARAAAACTCTGGAAACCATTACAAATSTGTTATTAATTCCYGTATTTTCTGATATTCAGKCCTTTAATCCCAGATGCCTTTGTGCAGAGAGAAAAGCCCGGGGGCATTGCGGCGGSCCCGGGGGTTGGGGTAACCCGGCSCTGCCCTTGAGCCCTCASGGACAGCGCGGGGCTCGGCGCCGGGGCCGCCTCGGCCTCAGCTTCAGCTTCAGCTTCAGCTTCCTGTTCCTGAGGCTGCCTGAGGGAAACGCGGCTCCTTTCGCTCCGTGCACACGCAGCCCCACACCTACCTCGTCTCAGGCGTCCTCCGTGGAGCCGTCCGGCTGCTGCCTGCCTGCCRGGCCGCGGCTCCGAGCCCTGTGCGGGGACCTTGTCCCCGGGGGCCGGCAGTGCGGGCCGCGGGTGTTCCTGCGAGCGCTGACCTCTGCAGGCAGGAAAATCCCTCAGCTCCTGCGCTGCCAGACGGGGCTGTTCGTGAGCCTGCTTCAGGCAGCTGGCGCGGTGGAGATCGCTCTTCCAGCTCCGTCACCGAGGTGACACCCTGCCCTTCTCCTGGCGTTTTTAGTTTTGGTTTAATGTTTTCGTAGCCCGCTCCGGGTGGAGAGCAGCATCCCTCGGGATGGCGCTGCTCCTTGCCTGGKGTGTTTGATGTGCTCAGGGTTTTCCCAGCTGTGTCACGGCGCTGCCCTCAGCCCTTCCCGCAGGCTGGGGCCCGGGGAGAGCCTGGCACAGGGGATGTGCTGAGCCTGTCAGATTCAGGAGACGGGAGCTCACCCTCACACCCCTCACCCTGGCTACAGCAGGATGGGCCTGGCGGGAGGGATCCAGGAGAGCATCCCKCAGCTCACCATGCTGCAAACTGGTTTGTCGGGGAAGGAGCTGGAATTCGTGGCATTCACCTTACAGAAGGCTTGCTTTAACATGGGAAGGGAAGCAAAGGCTGGGAAATTGGGTGTAGTTTTGGGTAATGATAACTTTAAGCCTGGAGCTGAACTTGTTGAGCCAAGCCCAGCAGCCACGAGGAGCAGCAGTCACTGAGAGCAGCTGACTGCAATGCAGTGAGTGGCTCGCAGGCAGTGGATGGTGTGTGARGGGTCATTCTGGTAGATTAAAGATGCCATGTGGTTCCATCACATTCCCAGAGTAGCAGGGTGTTCTAGGGATGTGCTGTGTCCTGGTCCATGCTGCACAGCATCACATCCCACAGTGACTCGGGATCACGAGTGCTTGGGAGGCAGTACATCCTTCTCAAGTGCTCYGTGGGATTTCTCCATTTGCACTTAAATTTCCTTCTGCTGGAGTCAGAAGTGCTTGGCCTCATGCTTCCTGAGTGCTCTTTGCAGTTCACCAAACAGGTCTGGCTCTCCTGAAGGAAGGGTGAGGGATGACAGGTTGGAAAAATTCTGTTCCAGAATCTCTTTGCAATCTGATGTTCATGGAGGTTTATATTTTGGGCAGGCTCAAGTGCTGTCTGCATAAGTCATTGCCTGTGTTAGTGGGGTCTGAGCTGGAGAGCCACCAGAGCTGCACACCCAGCAGTGTCTCATACACCTCAGCTCCCAGTGCCTGTGGGTGCCCAGAGATCTCATGGGCTGTGATGAGAACCAGCAAAATCCACAAGGGCATCAGGTCATGATGTGCTGGAACACACCCTCATTACTATTTTACCTGAGAATTTTGCATCTTTCCCCATTTTCATTTGGCTGGATCTCACCRGCATCATGGCTGATTCATGATTTCATATAATGAAATTTTATCAACACAAAACTCTTCAGTCTGTGRCAGTTTTAGATAATTTTGGGAAATGATCTAAACACAGAGAAGAACCTAGAATAGGCAGAGACAAACTCTTGGGAAGGGGTGTTCAGCTAGGGCCAGTCTGAGGGTATCAAATAACTTGAGTAAGAAAACCAGAACTTACCATTTTTGAGGCAGTAACTGMCAAATCAGGCAGTGAAATGTGAGTGTTTCTTGACAGGAAATTTTACTGCAGCAAATTATCTAGGAGCACTTCAGGAGTGAGTACGTAGGAGAAGAGATCTCAGCATGACCTGGGTAAAGAGCAAAGCTGGTATTGAAAACTCTGGCAGTAAGAGAAATTCCAGGCAATGGAGCAGTTTGAGCATAGCTGAAAGGTTTTTATCTTTAAAGAGTAGAAGTGATTGGTTCTTACTCTCTTCCATAGAAGAGGAACTACCACAATGAACAACTACCATTGGCATCCGTGTGTGGAAGGCGGTGTGTGATCACTGTAAGGAGTTTTGGGGCATTGCTCATCAAAACCTCACTACYTGGAGCTTGGAAGGTTTGATAAAGCATTTTATAAAGTCTCTTGTGAGTGCCCTGGTCTCATGTCTCACCAAAGGTCCAGATAATTTGTGTCCCTTTGAAAGGTTTATGCCAGAAATGAAGTACACAACCTGCCATGGCAGGATAGCAAGGGAGCTGTTATTATAGGCATCAAAGAGGTGGGAAGATGTTTTGGAAACCTGAGCTGAAGAGCAGGTTTAGTGAATGAGATCTCACCCCCAGTGAGGAGCTGCCTGGCCACACCAGTGCCACAGGATTTGGAGGGTCAGGCACACCATGTCCCTCACAGTGTGGCACCCCCAGCAGATCCCTGGTRCCAGAGAAATGCATCCAAGCACCACCTCTGGCTTATTCTGAGTGGGATGTTGGCATRGGTGCTGATAAGGATCTCACTAATGAGACAGAGAAGTCCTTTCCATTTGCTCTGCTGCAGTCAGTTTTAGTCCTGGCTCTCAGGGACCATAGTGTGTGTGACCTGCATATGTGAAGCATCATCTCTTTTTCTTATCTATCGAATCTGTGGTCTTTGGTTGCTGCTAAAGCAACTTTAAAAATGTTTAAAAATAATGAAATAGATTCATTGGTGTGAGAATTACCTGTCAGTTCAAAAAACAAATTTTTAAATTAAATGCCAGGATGTGTTTCCTGCGCTTTGTGTGGGTCTTACCCTGCCATGCTGGTGGGCATCCACAGTCAGTTTAAAATCAGATTGGAAGTTTCAGTGCACAAAGCCTGATTCACAATTTGTGTGCCCTTACACTTCCATCAAACTGAGGTGATGTCTGGGGATAAGCACTGGATGCAGTRTTGGGTGAAGATGATGAAAAGAGCTTGTTGGTGAGCAAATTAATGCAACATTAACAAAGGAATTGGTGTCAGACTTCACTGGTTTTTATGTTCATTCAGTTTATTTGGCTGTTTGTTTATATCCTTGGAGCTTTTTCAGTTCCTTGTGGAAAAGAGCAAAATATACAATCATCATTTAGTTCATTTCTTCAGAAGTGTCCACATTAAACAGTGAGTTAATTCAGTAGAAGTGCATGACATATAGTTTGATATAAATGTATAAACACCAAAACAGAATACAGACTACATATCACATAAGCAACATACACAGTGCAAAAAATTGTCTTCCATCAATACTCTGATAATCTGTATCTTCTGGATACACCACTTTTATTCAGGAATGTGCTTTAGGGGCATAGGGAAAAATTAATGCAAAAGAAATAGAGACACAAAGATACCCCAAAATCTTCCTGGTGATGCYTACACTGATTTTTGTAGGGTGCCACCTCCTCACTGCTGTGCCRTGAAGCACAAGAGCATTGGTGAAAGTTGTACAGGCTCCATGTCTAAGCCCACTGGCATTACCAGTTCAGAGGGGTGAGAAGAACTGTGCTGGAAAATGCTGTGATATTTAAGCCAGTACATCAACTGTAAAAGCATCATTTCCATGCCATGTCTGAGGGCTGGAGCTTGGAGCTCTGGTCAGGGTTGAAGCTCTGTGTGCCCTGCTCTGTGCCCTGGGACACTGCCTGTGCTGGCTGCATCTGCTGGCAGGTCCCAGCTCACAGCCCGTGGGGTCCTGGTGGGCAGCTGGGTCAGGGCTTTCTGCTGTCTTTCCACTGCTGGAAGGATTTCTTGTGACTCTACGATCCCAGCCTGAGTTAGGACAATATGACCTGGCCCTTTTCCTTTGGGACACCTGCTGGAAATGACCCAGACACCCCTTAGTCGCCATGGACCATGATGTGTGCAGCCCCACTCTGTGCTTGATGGATACCACATCAAAGGGAGGCACCTGGATTTATTTGTTGCCTCCTGGTAATATTTGAATACTTGAGAAAATCAGCAAAATCCTTTCAGCCTCTCATTGCTGACCTTACCGGATGGCTCCCACCCAAGGACTTGCATAAATGCCCCCATCCCAGACTGGGTGAGCTGATAAAACTGATTTCACTGGTGCATATGGAGYGACAGATTGCCTCTCCTGGAGTGCATTTCCATCTGTGGCAAAATTACAAATTAATTTGCTGAAATTTTTTGAGCTCTTTGATCAAGGTTACTTAATCTGTGCCATACCATAACTCCTCACAAAACCTCAGCACAGTAATTCTGGCTTATTATTTGCACTGATGTTATCTGTGGAGTGTCATGCAGCATTCTTTACAGCTTTATACAAGCATCCTTAGCAACACCTTT